GAGGGTGGGTAAGAGGGTGGATGAGAGGCAGGTGATGGGATGGACGCTGATTCCCGAGAGGGCAGTCACTCCCGTGAAGGCCACACTGCATGCTGGCACCCAGACACAGTGACTCAGAAGACACAGTGACTCCCTGCACCGGCCAGGACACACCGTCTTCTTCTCAGAAATTCTCATTCTCAGGCCCAAGGGCCCATTTCCCACCACAGTCAGCACATCCAGTGTGCCTGACCCACTGGGTATCTGCAGACTGCCGGCAGCCGCAGCGCCCTACGGCCGGGGGCTGGGTGGACTGACTCTACTTTTCCACCTTAAAGCTACACACAAAGCTTTAACGGCTTTGAGATAAACAGTCTACAAAGCTGCAGTCCACTGTGGGACTCTCTAGTCCCTGGGCCCGGACCTCTGTGCGTTGCTCTAAACGTTGTTGTGCCTGGACCCCTGGCTTCAGAATCATGCACGCCCTTAGCATGACTGGTTTAGCATGATTAGGTGCCCAGCCCAGCCCCACCTCACTGAACCTGAACTTCGGGGCTGGGCCTGCGAACTTGGGTTTTAACCATCTCCCCAGGTGATCCTGAGGCACAGTTAGGTCTGAGGCCCCTCTGCCCACCCAGACGCCCCCCCTTTTTCCTTCCTGTTCCCCCCACACTGGAGAGCAAAGACGCCCTCCTCTCCCCGCTGGGGTAGAGCTACTCTCTACGTGCCAACGTGTCTCCAGTTCATTTCCTGCTAGGTGTTCACCAGCAAACAGCGAGACCACAATAGCTGCCTAGCAGACCAAGGTCTCAGGAACCTCGCAGATGTCACATCAACTTCATGGCACACAGTGTGAAATTTCTACCCAGAGCCACAAAGAGGAAGTTCAGACAAACTCAGAGGCTGTGAAGGGTGGGCCACTTGGCCTTAGCAACCAGGAAAGTCAACAGGATTTGTTTTCATTTCGAGAAGAAATATCAAAATATACATTCTTTTCCACATGTGGTTTTGTTCTCCTTTTTTATTGTGTGAGGGGGTGGTGGAGAGCTGAATAAAGTAGATTTGACACACTTGATTCTAATCCTATCACCCCAGGTTCAGAAAACTTTCTCTTAGCCTGGTGTATGTACATCTGGATCTGTATGTACTATCCTTTCTAGGCATCTAGAAAACACTCACTCAGCTTCAAATTTCTTTTCCTTTGTTACAACTTAAACCACTATTACATAAATCTCTTATGTGTGTAATTCCTAGAACCAAGGTAAATGGGTCAACTTTATTTTGGAATCAAGCAGTTAACTTCCTTTCCATATTTACCATCCCTATGCCCCTACTAACCACCATCCCTCAAAACAAAAGAAAACAAGCAAAACTCTCAATGGCCCTACACTGTTCCATGTCAGTCCCTGTAAGACAGTATGCTTTCATTCAGGTATCAATTTAGTTCATTTCTGAAATGCATCTGGCTTTTCATAACAAAAGTGGAAAGAGAAAGAGAGGGAAA